TTTAGAGATAGGGATCTTGCTATGTTGCTCAGGCTGGTCTCAAACTCCTGGGCTCAAGTGATCTTCCCTCCCTGGCTTCCCAAAGTGCTGGGATTACAGGCGTGAGCCATCACACCTGGCCACATTTTTCTGTATATCTAAAATAGTTCTAAGATTAAGTGCTTGTTTTTAAGAACAAAATGTATCTACCTACATTTTTCCCTTTCTGACATGTCCTGACCATTGTGTCACTCAGGATCATTTGTGAAATATTTATGGGAAAGATGTAAACTGAAAAAAAAAAAAAAAAAAAAAAAAAAAAAAAAAAAGACTTTACTGCCTGGATGCTGGTTTTGAGGATTTTTTTCCAGAATCACATCTCTGTGCAGCTTCCTCTGAGATGGGTCTAGCAGGGCCTACTCTTTCTGAGTGAAATCCAAAGCCATATCCTCGAGGGTTAACATTTCCTATGGATGTACTGTCAAGAACTCAGTCACCCCGTCTTTCTCTGTAATCTCACCCTAGGACCATCTAAGTACTAAGCTAGAAAAGCAGAACCCAGACAGATGGAAGCTTGAGTGAGACCAGGATGACACTGAACTTGGGGGCACCAGTTCTAGAGCTCAGAGTTTCTTTTTCTTTCTAGAAAAAGCTGGGAACCTGTATTTTTAGTGAGCCCTCTACTGTCCAAGCAAGTCTTAAATATTTAAACAACTGTGTTTAAATTCTAATTTCCTTAGATTATATAGCAAAACCTCAGGATGACCTTTCCTAGCCTGTGGCCCAGGTTGCAGTACCAGTTTTATTTTTATAAATCTCTGTGCTTATATTTCCAAAACACTCACTACATTTTATTGCTATGACTTTTTCAGTGCCTGCCTTTCCCACTAGACCACAGAATTCATGATGGCAGAGGTGTCTGGTTTTTTTCTCTTTGTATCCCAAGCCTCTAGCAGAGTACACCTCCATATTTGTAATATAAGTGAATAAAGATAATCTCTTTTACTCACTCAAACATACACATTAAAAATGCAGATTTATTTCATCTGATAATGTTAGAGAAACACAGTTTAGAAAAACACATCAATGCTCTCTGCTAAAGACTTTGGATAAATAAGAGAAGACTTATTTACATTAAATTGTCATTATTCTCCTAGCATTTGAGTAATGATTATCAAACACCAACTTCGTAAGACAAGGTAGTGGTTAAGAACAGCTATTCCCAAACTAATGCTGTATCATTAATTATTTTAAGAAAACAAATAAATAAAAGGGGTCTAAGAAACTTCTTTAGAGTGTTTTTAAGATCAATTTAAACAATACACCAAGGCCATTACAAATATTGCAAAATCTTAAGAAATAATAAATTTTAAATGCAAATGACAAGAAGGTAAGAGTCAAAAGAATAGAAGTAGGGGGTTGTAAACAGACTTCCTGCAACTCACAAAAATGTCTGTTCAGACAGTAGGAAAAGTCTGTCTATACTACAATCACCTAATTTTTTTAAAAAAGTACTAGGAATAATTCTCTAGGCATGGATAGCACAGATGAGTTAATATACAAGACATAAGTTTTAACCTGAAAGAAATGGGCAAACAAGAATTTCTAGCAAATGAGAGAACATTACTGGATTTTGGCAAGCAATCCATTTATTACTCTGAGCAGTAACATTCCTATAAGAGGAAGGCAGAGTAAATGTATACAAATTCTGTTTCATAAAGTTATCCAGAAACCAATGTCTTAATCAAGATAATCAAACATGATATCCTAGTTAAGAAAGATAATTTAAAGCAGAATTAGGATTTTGTTACTAAGAGCAGTTACCAATGAGAGTTATGCTTCTCAATCCATGTAACAGGTTGGAAATATAGCTCAGGACTTTAATCAAAAGGCCATTTCGAAGACAACTATACCACTTGCTAAATATAATGTGCTCTTAACTTTTAGCACTCCCAGAGTACACTTCTTGTGGTTTGTTTCTGGTAACATTGCGTTTATCATTCTGTAAGTCTGTTTGTCTCAGAAAGGTGATTAATGCCATTTCAAAATATTTCAACAATCTTAAAATATGGGTTTTTCTTAACCAGTTTAGCACATTTCTTATCGTAAAAGAAAATATTACATAATGCTTTTTCTATTTGATCTTTCTCAGTAGGCTCCAAGTTAATGAACTTTAATACTGCCTCCAGGCGAACAACTTTCAGGTTGCCAGTGAAGTCATTATTCCATTCAGCAATCATTCTCACACTGTCTTAGACATCGACATCTCGTTTTTAAAAAAGAAATGTTTCCCAGGATCTGAGATTACTTTCCCAGGGTCAAGAAAAGTCCACATGAATAATAAAAATACTGCAGTTTCAAATTCTGGGAATGTAAAGCTGCCTACACCTATGAATCTGGGCTCTAGAGAACAAATGGCTGACACTCCCAATATCAAGCAGCAGTGTGATGAGCTGAGAGTTCCCTAATAGGGGACAGAAGACATGTCCACAATGACTATAATGCAAGAAAGAAGCTATAAATGCTACAAGAAACAAACAAATATGTTATGAAATTTCAAATGACAGAGAAAACTGATGGCTAGGTTGTATTCATTGTAACTAGTGGCATTGCTAGACATTTTGGAAAAGAATAAACTTGGTTAGCAAAATCACTAATGGGGGATATTTCAATCTGAAAAAAACTTTACAGAGATGGATAGGCACTACATATAACTTAATTCATCCTATTTTCTCATTGAAAAAGGAAATATTCCTTACATAGCGTTACTATTAGAAAAACATTGCTAAGAATACAAGTGGAGATATCACTGAGGAAAAAAAATGCAATGTGGGAAATATTTGCTCATACTATTTTGCTTATTACAGAACTACTTCCAATGTCTAGCCTTCTTAGTTACATTCATTACTGGTCCTCTTATTACCATTGACACTATTATTTCTATATGTATGATATTAATGTCTTGGTTCTTTCTACCAACACTAAGCACTTATTATATGCCAGGCAGTATACTCAGGATTAGGGGTACAGCGGTGAATGAAACAAACCTGGTTGTTACTTTCATGAAACAACTACATTAATAATGACATAATCACAACTGTGAAATGATAGCAAGGAAAAGTATAGGAAGCTTTCTTGCCAACGGGTATCAAGAAAGTCTTTCCTGAAGAAACGGCATTCATGGTGAGACCTGGAGGATAAGGAGGAATAAGGCCAGTGGAAGGAGTGGAGCGTGGGTAGGAGTGTTTCAGGAAGTAGGAACAGTATGTTCTAACGGTGAAGGGGCAGGCTGGATGGTGCAGAGGAGGGGAGAGCGAGGAACAGATGAAGCTTGAGAGACTGGTAGGAGCTGGATCAGAGCCTTAAAGGACATGCTAAAAATGCTGAACCTCATCCTAACAGCAAAGGTTTTTGAGCAGAGAAGTGACGTATTGATATTTACGTTTAATCTGTTGCTTGGGCTGCCACTGAGAGTCAAGAGTGGCCTGGCAGGAGGCAAGGAAGCTGTGAGGAAAAAGGGTGGGAGGGTGGCACAATTCGTGGTCCAGAGGAAAGTGAGCACACTCTTTTCACTACAAAACAGAGCTTTGCTTTTTCACTTTTGTGCCTCTGTTCATGACCTGCAACGTACTTGCCCATACCTCCACATTATATAGATCTTTCAAAGGCTACCTCTGATGCCACCTAGCCTCTTCTAGGTGAAAATTTCTCCCTTTTCGAAATTTCCAAAACTGATGATTTGTAATTCTCTTAGTACTTTCTGCTTTGAGCTATAGCTATTTGGACACACATCATATGTTCCCTTCTAGGCTATCGCCTCCTAGAAGGCAACAGGAGTGTCTTATTTGTTTACAGTTCAGATCACAATAAATATTGGAATCTGTATGGCTCCAACACAGAGAAAGAGGAGGGTTTTTGTTTTTTCTTGAGGCATTTCTTTTCTGTTATGATTTAGAGGATGATAAGGTTTGGTGGTGTGGGAAGAGCAGGAAAAGATGTACCTATTTTTGTTTTTGTTGTCCCCACAAACACCAGTCAATGGCTCACAGTAGCAGACTGAGTTGCTAACCCTGTGGAATGCTTGAAACTTACAGCATACCCAGAATCCTGAATTATTAAATAAAAAGGCAAGAGACACAGCAATAGTTTCTTTTTCATTAATGGCTAGTGTCCAAAACCCAAGAACATGTTATTACATATTTTTCATCTTTGTCATGGCCTTGGATACCCACACCTGCCATGAGCTGCGGACTGAGGGTAGCAACCATGGATGCTCATGTTGCTCTAGGCTGGGCCACCTGTCTAGCTTGTTTGCTGCCTAGTTAATCCCCAAGTCTCCAGAATTATGCTGCGCCCCCTCCTTCCCAGTGGAGGAATTATGCTTGCTCCAGTCCCGGCTGTCTTGCATTCAACAAGCATCTGGATGTTTTAATTGCTAGGGGCCTCCTGGTGACAGGTTATCTTACAGAGATACAGCAAATTCTAAAACTTCATAGTATATGTAAAATCCAAGTCAAAGTTTTTAGTAAAAAAGAAAACTCCATCATAGAAAGAGAGAGTAGAAGAGTGGTTGCCAGGGGCTGGGAGAGTGGGAGAATTGGGTAGATAGATACTTGTCCGGAGTATAAAGTTTCAGTTATGCAGGATGAATAGGTTCTGGAGATTTAAAGGACAGCCATGTGACTATAGGTAATAATACTGTATTGTATATTTAAAATTTGCTAAGAGAGTAGATCTCAGATGTTCTCAACCACAAAAAAAGTAACTGAGGTGATGTGTTAATTAGCTTGATTGTGGTAGTCATTTCATAATGTATATGTGTATCAAAACATCACGCTGTATACCTTACATATATAGTTTTTATTTGTCAATTATACCTCAATAAAGCTAGAAAAATAAAAATAAATAGATAAAATTGAATACAGAAAGAAAACTACAAATGCATCTAGCAAGTTGTTCATATTTTGAGCTTGAATAGTACTGATAAGACAATAGCACTCACCGTTACTTTCTGGACTTACCTCTTTAGTAACAGTAGGAAGCAACAATGCCAAATTACAGAACTTCAAAGCATTCTGGGTTTCCTCAAGATCAGTATAACACTGGAAATGAGAAATAACCAATGTTAAATATAATCATGTTTTTATGTCTTTTATGAGTTCAAAGTGATCTTAAAGCAAAACAGTGGTCTTCATTACCTTTGCTAAGTACATGTAGTTGGGAATAGAATAACCAGGGCATAGTTCTTCAGCCTGATTTAAGAGAAAAATACAAGAGAATAACAGGGCAATATTAAAATAACAATAATCACAAGTGAAGAAAATACATTTTAATAAATCAACTATTTTGAAGCAAACTGCCCTAAGAATTTAGGTTGGTGGTTTCACACGTGAATCACTTGATCAGTTTAAGTATCTTTTGGGAGGAAACGTAGCTTTTGCATTTAGCCATTAAAATAAAATCGATTACCATGATCACAAAGCTTATAAAGCAATGAGATACTCTGTGGTTTTCAGATTTCTTTACATAATCATTTTCCTCAGTCTTCTTTCTCTATCCTTCTACTTTTAAGAACAAAAATAACTAGTGATATGCCTAGGACAAGTCCCATCCATCCATCCGTCCACCCATTGACAGGGTCTTGCTCTCTCACACAGGCTAGAGTGTAGTGGTATGATCTCGGCTCATTGCAACCTCCGCCTCCTAGGTTCAGGCAATTCTTGTGCCTTAGCCTCCCGAGTAGCTGGGATTATAGGCGCCTGCCACCACGTCTGGCTAATTTTTGTATTTTTAGTACAGACAAGGTTTCACCATGTTGGCCAGGCTGGTCTCAAACTCCTGACCTCAACCTCCCAAAGTGCTGGGATTACTGGTGTGAGCCACCACTCCTGGCCTCACTATCTATTTAGAAAATGAGAGCAGTGCATGACTGGTACCCCATGGCAAACATCTTCTACTAGGCTAATATTTGATTTCTTAGGATTTCAACACATTCCACAGGAGTTAAATAATATCTGAAGTCCATCACATCATGGACTGTTAAAGGAAAGACAGATCCTTGAAACAACCAGTCCAGGTAGTAGACATGAGTGATTATTATAAAGGTACTTTTCTCCAATCTACTAATTTTTCATGTGCCAGTTCCTTTATCTCTGGGAAATAAGAATTCTTTCAGGTATGGTATTGTTACTAGACAGCTCTTCTTAGAACCTAAGTCAGTCTAGCTTCAGAGTCAGCTTTTGTTGTTTTGAAGGGCCAGGCAAGCAAGCCTACAACCTGCAGTCCCCACCGTAGGGGGTGTAGAACATAAGATAAAAAGATACTTTTAAAACTTTACAAAAATATGTTTGTTTCACAAGATATAAACAATCTAGACAGTTCCAAAATTAAAAAGTGAAATTATCTCTTTCCTAATTTTATTCTCAACTTCAATCTCATGCCCCAGGGGTAACTACTATCAGCAGTTTGACATGTGTCCTACCAGATTCTTTGCCAAGTACAGGCAAATAAAAAAAACAGATGTTTGGTTTTTGAAAATAAAACAAAATGGAACCATTTAACATATATATATATATAATTTACATATATATAAAATTCTTGTCAATTATACCTCAGTAAAGCTAGAAAAATACAAATAAATACATAAAACTGCATAGATTTACATACTGACAGAAAATCTACATATTGGCCCCAAACTTTTTTTCCCCATATTACAAACATATTTTCATGTTAGCATACAGATACATCTCATCATTTTTAAGAGCTGTATTTCATATTCTGTATGAAAGGAAGCATTCCCCATTGGACATCTTGATTTATTTTCAATTTTCATTATCACCACTAATAATCAATGAACATACTTTTCCCCATATGCTTGTTTACATGTGTGTTTATGCCTATTAGGAAGAGTCCCAGAAGTTGAATTGCTGAGTCAAAAGAACGTATTTTTAAAGACAGATACTAATGAAGATGAATCCAAATTAGAAGTGCTGAGGAGTGGTCCAACATCTTATGAGAGCACATCCCTTGTAAAAGACATTTTATTCTGTACAGAATCCAAAAGAGAAGTGTTTTAGGAGGAGGAGGACAAAAATCTCTTGGGGTAGGGAGCCAGACTTGATATAAATCTTTAAGACCAGGTAGGTTTACATTGTCTGGACGTGGAATGGAACCTGCTGGAAAGACAGAAAAGCTACCAGAGATTAAAGGAAGTGGTCAATTTCAATCAAGTCAGAGCCTTGACCATCCAATAGTGCTATCCATGGATTCTGGTTCTTCTGCTCCGTTTTTTTTTTTTTTTTTTTTTTTTTTTGTCTAATAATTTCCATTTCAAGGCCTCTCATTTGATAGGTGCATTTCTTGAGCCATTCTAATAAGAGGGACTTAAGACTGAACTTTATTCAGTTATACCTTCTTCTATACCCAGTAGTTGCCTCAGCTCTGTCCAAATCCCATATTGGGGATAACTTGCCCCAGTATATGCATGTTAACAGCTTATTTTTTAATGCTGGCATTTTAATTCTGCATATATACCTTAAAACCTATGTTCAGTTAACTAAAGCGATTATAAATCAGAACACCTCTTTCTGTTCTTATGGTTTAAAAAACTAAAGCCCAACCGAACACAGACAGGCAACTAACAACACTGAATTCCTAAGGTAAAAGAGATTCTGACCTTTCATAAAAGGCCTTGGATGAATTACAAGGGGTGTAGCATTATTCAAATGCTCATGTTTCAATGTAATGTTCCAATGATGAGGCAGTTTCTAGAGAGGCCCTTAGAACACTCTTTATCATAACACCAGGCAAAGAATATTATACATGTTTAATTTCTCTTGGCTATCCAAGTTCCTTGAAGGCAGGAGCTGTGTTGGTTATTCTGTGTTACCAGTATTTGATGCCATGTTTGGTACTAGTTATGTGCTTAATAAACACTGTTGAATAAATTAACTCTTCTTTAAAACATCTTAGAAGCTCAGGCAGCAGCCTTATACCATATAGGACACAGCAGAGAGTTCTGCAGCTGGGGAAACCACTAGTACAGACTCAGGGATCATATGATTGCAAACAGTAAGTGCAATCAGGGTAGCCTGTGTCCCAACATTGCCAAACCTGTCATTTACTACACATACCCATCCTCTGATCCAGTGGTTCCCAGCTATGCCATCAGCTGCCATTGGAATCAATAGCTTTACGATCTTTAAAAACACAGATCAAGGTTTAAAAACACATACCATATGACCCAACAATTCCACCCCTAGGTGTTTACCCAAGAGAAATAAAGTATGTCCACATCAAAGCTTGCACTTGAATGTTCACAGAAGCTTTATTCAAAATAGTATCAAATCAGAAACAACTCAAACATCTAACAGTAAGTTAACACAGAAACAAATTATGGTACATACATATAATGGAATATTACTTAGCAATGAAATGGAACTGCCGATACACTCAATAAAACGAATGAGTCTCAAAACATTATGCTGAGTAAAAGAAGCCAGATACACGCAAAAGTCCATGTTGTATGATTCCATTTATATTAAATTTTAGAATGGGCAAAACTAATTTATAGTAATAGAAAGAAGATCAGTGGTTACCTGGGGCAAGAGGCAGGGGAAATTAATAGCAAAGGGGCAAAGATAACTCTCTAGGACAGGCGTCCCCAAACTTTTTACACAGGGGGCCAGTTCACTGTCCCTCAGACCGTTGGAGGGCCGCCACATACTGTGCTCCTCTCACTGACCACCAATGAAAGAGGTGACCCTTCCTGAAGTGCAGTGGGGGGCCGGATAAATGGCCTCAGGGGGCCGCATGCGGCCCGTGGGCAGTAGTTTGGGGACACCTGCTCTAGGATAATGAAAATGCTCTCTTGAAATGGTGGTGGTTACATAGATATATAAGTTTGTCAAACTTCACTGAACTGTACACTTAAAATGGGTGCAATTTATTGTTTATAAACTATACTTCAAGATACCCAGAGGTTCTATAACAATGAGGCTGGGTCATGTCCTGGGCTGACATTTTGTAAAGTGCCCCAGATGACTGCAGTGCAGCCAAGGTGGAGAACCACTGCTTTAGGGAATCATGCCAGAATTTTGGATGAGGTGGAAAGCATGCTATAGTTTGCAATAATTTCCCCAGGGGATTCACAGATGACTCCTACAGGTGTCTAAAACTACCTCCCTAGATGCTTTGAGGCTGTGAAGGACCAATTTTCTCCTGCTATAATAGCAAAATAATAGTAGTTAACATTGATTTTTAGTTAGAACATTTAACATGTTAGACCCTGGGCCAAGAATATCAAATGTATTCTTTATGTAACCTTCAAAAAAACTGTACAAAGTAGGTATTATTATGGCAATTTCACAGATGAAGAATTTGAGAGTGTGAGAACTAAGGAAATGTGTCCAGGTCATACAGACAGGAAAGGCTCAGGTCTCAACTTCACTCATCTGACTCTAAAGTCAGTGCTCTCAACGTCTACGGGACCCAGCTGGATGGCTCTAGAGACACATTCCTGGCCCCTGTGAATGCTCTTTGGAGGGGTGGATTTGGAGCAGGAGTCCTACAGTCTGGGTCCCATCGACACGGCCTCCTGTGTTGTAGGACCCAGGGGGTTGCAGACTCTCCTGGGTGTGGCAGCCGGGGTCGTTGCTGTTTCCTTTTCCTCGCCTCCACCTCCCAGATTTCTTAGCTCCACCACAGCCTTAGCCTCAGCACTCCACGCCCCTCAGTCCCCTGTCATTCTAGTAAATATGGCGAGATGCATTCCTGATGCCTTCTCTCTTTCCTTTGACAAACACCATGGAATGTATTTTCAGACTATGTATGTCAGCCACTGGACACAGCCTTATCTATATTTTTATAAACTTGAAATAAGTAGGTTGGGAAGGAAAACACATTTAGTAACTATAAGATTTTGAAGGTGGTTCAAGAGAAAGGCTTATTACCCCAACAGGAAGTTGATTATATGGGTGGCTATATTATATATTTACATGTGTGTTCATACACACACATATTACTGCTTAGAGATGTATTAGTATAGCGATTATACATTTTCAGACAGAATTGAGAATACTGATTTGGTCTGATGCCCCAAGAATCTTCCAGAGAAGTGTCTGCAAAAAAAAGTCTAAGTCATGATTTAATGTGGGGCTCCCCAAGATGGTTTTCCAAGGGGTTTAAATTTTAATGAAATTAAAATTCTGTGACTTTTTACTGAGAACTTACTGGGCACCAGGCATACTCTAGGTAATTTACTTGTAGGAATGTAGATAATCCTCACAATACCACTGTGAAGTAAGTACTATTATCTTCATGTTATTGATTAAATTGAGAGAGAAGTTAAGTGAATTGCCCAGTGTTACTCAACTGGTAAGTGGTAGAGCTGAGATTTAACCAGGTAGTCTGATTCTGGAATTTGCATTCTTTACCTTAACATTATTGGGCTACTTATCATTTTGATTTTATCTGTGTATTATTTTAGAAACATTAGAATCTTAACTTTTCTACAGTGTTCTGAAACCTGCTTCTCAATTACAACTTTGATATTATGAGGAAATGAGTTTTGAGTACAGATAACATTTTTGCTGGTTAACGTGGCATCTTTTATATAAATCTTTTATCTCAGATATATCATAATATACATTTGTATACAACTTAAAATGAGGAAATTAATTTTCAGTGGTAAGAAAAAAGTGAAGAAATGGGAGTGAAAGAGTTTTAGCCTTCGCTCATATTTAAATCAAATCTTTGCTTGCCATTGCGTGAAATGAAACAAATTAAGTTCCTGAGGTCTTGACTCCATTTTAAAAAAACATACAAAAAAGGGATCACATTACATAAAAATTAAGAAATGTACAGCCCTTTTCTTTTTATTTTTTAAACTCTTTTCTGCTGGGCTTGTGCTTGATTTCAGAACACTTATGTTTTCACTTGAGGCAGCCACTGGCCATTGTGGTGAGAGAAAGTGAGAAGAAACCTACTTGCCATCTTAGACTACATGATCTATAAATTCCCTCTTAGTTCTACAAAATCGATCCCTGAAATACAGCACAAATATTAGCATGTATAAGACATTTATTTTATTTTATTTTATTTTTGAGAAAAAGTCAAGCTCTTTTGGTTAGGCTGGAGTGCAGTGGTGCGAGCATGGCTCACTGCAGCCTTGAACTACCGGGCTCAAGTGATCCTGCTGCCTCAGCCTCCTAAGTAGCTGGGACTACAGGTGCATGCCACCACGTGCAGCAAATTTTTCATGTCTTGTAGAGATGGGGTGTTGCTATGTTGTTCAGGCTGGTCTCAAACTCCTGGACTCAAGCAATGCTCCCATCTTAGCCTTCTAAACTGTTGGGATTACGGAAGTGAGCCACTAGACACAGCCTTATCTATATTTTTATAAACTTGAAATAAGTAGGTTGGGAAGGAAAACACATTTAGTAACTATAAGATTTTGAAGGTGGTTCAAGAGAAAGGATTATTATCCCAACAGGAAGTTGATTATATGGGTGGCTATATTATATATTTACATGTGTGTTCATACACACACATATTACTGCTTAGAGATGTATTAGTATAGCGATTATACATTTTCAGACAGAATTGAGAATACTGATTTGGTCTGATGCCCCAAGAATCTTCTAGAGAAGTGTCTGCAAAATAACTCTTCCTTTTGGCACTTCCATTTCTTTAAGATTAAACTGGTTCTATGTTAGGCTAATCAGGAGGAGTACTGGGACTATGTCTAACCATCAGGGCATGACTGCTTCTGCATGTGCTCATGTGACTTGGAGAGCTGTTCTTGGTCTTAGTAGTAAACTTTCATACCTAAACTTTCATTTAGACTGCTGAGTTATTTTTTAAAAGTAGCTTGTAATTCCTAGGACCTAGGGCATAACTTGCTGTTCTAGGAGGTTTAGATTTAAAACATATTAATAACTTTTATTATGAGAGGCTTAAAACAGAACATGCCAACACTAGGATTCAAACTAAGGCTTTGCGTGGAGAAAAGATTTCTTTGACAATGGTAGCAGGGATTGGTGCAGATGGTAATCAGTCTGACACTAAAATAACGGATAGACAAAATGTACCTTAAGGAAACTGTGTAAAGCTTCTTGTACAGTTGAAGATGGTACTTTTCCAAACAGAGTAGCAGCCATTTTTTTCTCAATCCAGCTCAGTTTGGAGACCTGCAAATGCACAACAACATCACTGTTAGAAGTTGTTCACCTTTTGAAGGGATTATCTCTCCCTGGTTAGACATGTGTGTAGGTGTGTGTGTGTCTGTATATAAATATACACAAATGTAAATATATAGCCATAAATAACATATATTAGCAACATCACCCTCATGGTATTAATGTTAATATGTTACCTCCCTTTTTCACAATTCTAAGGAACCATGGGCTCCAGAAGCACTGGTTTCAAAACCAACTTGAAATATTCTTGATAAGAAGATTTGTGTTGAATCAGAGGAAAAAGGAATGGAGTGGGAAATAACGCTGATCCTGTTCGTTCATCTGATTCCACATTCTGAGGTGACTATGGCATATTTCTTCGTACAGCACATAGGAGCTACAAGACTCTTGCCTTTGCTTTCCTCTTGCCTACCCATGCTGCCAACAGACCTCCTGACCCAGAGGAGCATCTCAGGTATGTAAATAGAATAAGAATCCTTAAGCCAGGAGTGTAGAATGGGGGTTCAGTATACATATTTACAAACCAGAAGATTTTTAAAAAAACAATAACCACCAAAACTAAATTTCATGTTACCATTGATTTTTTGCTTTCTTCTAAAAAGTTTTCTTTTTTCTCCAAATATAAATATTAGATGTTCATTATAAAAGATTAAACTGGCTCAAAATGAATACTTAAAAGGGTATTGCTCTGTCCAACCCCATTAAGTATCTTCATTCTCAGTCCAATCATCTAGATTCTACGTAGCCAATATCCTCTTTTTTTTTTTTTTTTTACAGTGCCTGACCTTGTTGCCCAGGCTGGAGTGCGGTGGCACAATTATGGCACACTGTAGCCTCGACCCCCTGGGCTTAACAATCCTCCCACCTCAGCTGCCTGAGTAGTTGGGTGGGACTACAGGTGTGCATCACATGCTCAATTCATTTTTAAAATCTTTTGTAAAGACAGCGTCTTCCTGTATGGTCCAGGCTGGTTCTGAACTCCTGGGCTCATGAGATCCTCCTGCCACAGCCTCTCAAACTGCTAGTATGATAGGCGCAAGCCACCTTGCCCAGTCCATTATCCTCTACTAAAAAATTATTTCCTTATTTTTTGACATAATTTTTCTTATTGGTATGCTTATTTTTGTTTTGTTTTGAACTTCGTAAAAAATAATATATTGCTTATTTCCTTGTATGACTTGCTTTTTCACATAATGGTATGGTTCTAAGATTTCATCCAGGATAATGAGTATGACAGAAGTTCCGTCATTTAAATGACTGAAATATTTCATCATTTCAACAGACATCAGCAATGTTTTTACCCACTCTTTTGTCAATAGACATTTGGGTCTTTTTCATTTTTTTGCTCTTAGGACCAAGGGCGCTATAGCCATTCTCGCACATGCCTTCCGGAGCACATTTGTCAGTCTCTGTAGGGTAGGCACGATCATATGGCAGGCACAGAGTCAAATTTAAAAGATAATACTCAACGGTTTCCAAGGTGGCCATGCTGAGTTATGTTTCCATGCAAAGTAATAATTCCTGCTGCTCCACGTCCTTGCAACACCTCATACTGAGATTTAAAAATTTTTATTAAATGAGTAGGAATAAAATGGCATCTAATTGGAGTTTTCATTATCATTTTCTATAATTTTGTTTTTTAAATTTTTAGTTTAATTGCATTATGGTCAGAAAAACTGCATGACATCAATTCTTTGAAATTAATTAAGACTTGGTACATGGCCTCATATATGGTCCATTTTAGTATACATTCTGCATATGCTTGAAAAGATGTCTATTCTACAGTGGTTAGCAACATGGCTTCATATTTATTAGATCCAGCTTATTAAATGTGAGGCTTCAATGTTTTACAAACTAATACTTTTTTGTTTTCTTATTACATTAATTACCAAAAGTGGGGGTGAAAATACCAGTGCATGGTTGGTCTGTACATTTATCCTTACAATTTGGTCAATTTTTACTTTATAGTTTTGAGGCTGTTATTAGAAGCACATTAGTTTATAAATAGTTTCCTTGTGAAGTGTAATTACTATATAGTTACACTCTTTATCACTAGATATACTTCTGTCTTAAAATTTATGTGTGTGTGTGTGTGTGTGTACAGTAGTACTCCTGTTTTCTTCATAGGGTATATTCCAAGACTCCCTTCAGATGCCTGAAACCATATGTATGTTTTAGTTTGATTATTATTTATTTGGTTACTATTTGATATAACTTTTCTACATGTTTACTTTCTAGGTTTCTTGGTCATTGGGTATTTTTTAAATTGGCTTTACTGAGGTATAATTTATGTAAAATAAAATTTCCTCCATTAGAGTGTATGGTTCAATGAGTTTTGATAAATGCATACAATACTGTAACTGCCACAACGATCAGTATATAGTACATTTTCATCATCCTAAAAAGTTCTCGCATATCCCTTTGCCGTCATATCCCTAACCTGCTGCTAGCCCTAGATAACTACTGATCTGACTATAATTTGCCTTTTCTAGAATTTCATATGAATGCAATTAGGTAGTCTTTTGTGAGCTTTCTTGGCATAATGCTTTGAAGAGTCATGCATGTTGCTATGCTGCTAAAGCTGCTATGAACATTCATATATAGTATTGAATGTGTGAGCATATATTTTTATTTCTCTTGGTGAATACTTAGGAATTGATCATATATTTATTTATTATTCACATATTTCCATCGAAACATATGAGTTTCAATTGCTCTATATCTTTGCCAGTACCTGGTATTGTCATCTTTTTAATTTTAGCTCTTTCGGTGAATATACAGCAGTCTTTCTCTGCGGTTTTAATTCACATTTTTCTAATGACTACTGATGATTAATATCTTTTCATATGCTTGCTTGCCACTCACAGACTTCCTTTTGTTAAGTAATTGATATATTTGATCTGGAAAACAGTCAAACATATGTGGAAACACTTCTACTTTTCAACTTAATTTTACACTATAATTGGTGTTGGACAAAATGCTTTAATTAGCATAGGTAATGTAATAAAGACTGCCTGGCATCCTGGAGTAAGAGAAAAGCTCCATCAAGTCCTTTCCAAAGTCCCAGCATGTCTTGTTGCACGGTCATAACTAACAGTTCATTTTCAGAAAGCAGCACTGAATTTTGCTCATGCTGCTCATCCATTCCCTGCCAATTCCTCTTATTTTAAAAAGCACATTATATGTAGCTATTTAATATTCTGAATCTCATAGTTCCTTTTAGATCCACTGCTGTTTTTTGTTTGTTTGTTTGTTTGTTTGTTTGTTTTTTTCTGCTGGCAGTCATTACTGTTGGCTTGTTTCTTGCTATAGTTTGTAATTTTTGACTGTGAACTTACCATTGTTGGGACACTTTCTGTGAAAGTTTTACAAAGTCTATCTAAAGGTACTTTCCTCTACAGAGGATTAGCATGTGCTTTTGCCACTTTCCTATGGCATGAAGATCAGAGTTCATTTTGAATTAAAATTTCTTTCCTGGGCCTTTAAGCCTAGGTAGGTAATGCACATTCAAGCTCCACACACTTGTGAGGTTGGGTAAATGAAATGGCTTTTAAATCTTAGGAGCGTTTCCTCCTTTCCGCTCTATCTTCCCAATGGTTAAGGCCGAGGATGAATTTTCACTGCTATAAGCTTCTGCTGAATACATTTCATTTAAGTTCATCATCTTCCCCCCTGGGCACTGTGCTTTTTGAGTCCTAGATATATTGTGGCAGTCTTCAAGCTGCTCTCTGCTCTGCTCAGGTCTGTAGTCCCCCACCTCCAACAAAGGTCTACAGACCTAAGCTTTAGGTTACCAGCCTTGGTAAATACCTCTGACTATCAGCTGGTTTCAAGGCTGTTTTACCAGTCCTTGGAACTGGTATTCTTGCTTTGTTTCTGGCCTTTGGCTATTCTCCTTATCTTTTTTTTCCATAGGTTATTCCATTGATCTGATTAGAAACAGACATACATACTTCAAACTAACACACACTTTAAGATATTGTGTGGCCAGAAAATTTTGAGTTCTTTAGTCTGCATATGCTGGAAACAATCTTTACACATTTGCTCATACTTGCTTTATTACCTTGGGGGAAGCTGATTCCCCCTGACGGAAAGAGTTTCAACTTCCTCTTCCACAATTCATATTTGTTATTGAGACTTATAATTTGTAGGCAGTAGAGCATACTAGTTAAGAGCAAAGATTTTAGAAGCAAACTGCCTGGGCTAAGTGTGGTGGCCCATGCCTGTAATCCCAGCACTTTGGGAGGCCGAGGCGGGTGGATCATTAGAGGTCAGGAGTGTGAGACCAGCCTGGTCAACATGGCGAAAACCTGTCTCTATTAAAAATGCAAAAACACAAAAACAAAAACAAAAACAAAAAAATACCCAGAAACAAAAACTAGCTGTGGTGGCACATGCCTGTAATCCCAGCTACTTGGGAGGTTGAGGCAGGAGAATAACTTGAACCCAGTAGATGGAGGCTGCAGTGAACTGAGATCACACCACTCCACTCCAGCCTGGGTAACAGAGCAAGACTTGGTCTTAAAAAGAAAATGAAAAAGAAAAGAATAATGAAAAAAACTACCTGTGTTTGAATCCTGTTCCACTACTTATTAGCTGAGTCACCCTGGGCAAATTATTAACCTTAGAGGGTTTCTGAAAAAGTGAGTGAGCTACAATATATAAAATGTTTACAGCTATATAAAATGCTTACAGGAGCCATGTACATGTTAGTCATTATTACTACTGCTTTTCATATTCTTTGTAGTTTTTCTCTACTTTTAGTGAATCAATCATTTAAGCAACAAATACCTGTCAAAGCAGCTTATTTTAAGTGCAAAAAAACCTGAGCTAGATGTTAAAAAATACCAAGAAGTATAAAATGTGGACTCTTTCCTTGAAGAGCTTTCAGATAACTTGGGATCAACAGAAAATAAACAGTAAGTAAAACGTGAGTTGTTGTAAGGTAATACAACCTTAGCAACTAGTGTGCTCCACAGTGCAATATTCAGAAAATGAAGACATCATTGTGTATTTTACAACATTAAGTAGATCATAAAAATTTGAGTGTTGTAACCATTCTATTATTTGACTTTGCAATCTTACAACTAGAAAAAAATGAGAAAAACAGATGGTATACTGTTATACCTTTCTCCTTAACAAAATGTAGGTTTCCTTCATATGTAAGACAATATAAAGAGCATAAATTTTGGAATTAAATTTGAATTTCAATGCTGCCACTTTCATTGACTAGTTAAATGGGGCTTTGGGAAGGTTCTTAACATCATGAAGACTCAGATTCTTACTCATTAAAACTGGTATAATAATAACTGCTTCACAGCACTGTTTTAAGGATGAAATGCAACAAGAAATATAAAGGACAGAACGCATATTTGGCATACAGCAGCAGGTGTTCAATAAAAGCAAACTTCCTTCTTCATCTCTAATTCTCTTTCAGCTGCAATGAAGAAGTTATCTCTTTGCCTGCCCTAATTTTATCATTCAAAAATGGCATTTCTCTTTCATGGTAATTTTTTTCACACATTCTTAAGATATATTTTCACATTCTGTAATTTTCTATAAACTAATAGTATCATTTAAGACACGGATCAGCTGCTTTTATTTTAGCTATATCTATATGTCACATATCCCTTCCAAATTAAATTCCTTAAAAGCAAGGAGTGTTTTATTCATCTCTGGCCAGTTAGTAGTTAGCACATAATTTGTGCTCAGTATACACTGCTGTATGAAAAAAAGTCCTTCCACAGAACTGTGAGTAGTGTACCTAGATACAGGGCATGGGTGTGGATGGTTGATCCCAATCTGAAACAGCCACAAAGGGAGGGAATGTGATTACTGCAAAAAGAAATGAAAAAGCAGGAAAGAGAAAGATCACATATATATATAAAATGTGACATATAACATACATATATATATATAAATTACGTTTATAAATTATAAAATACATATATTATAAATTTAAAAATTATAATGTATAAATTATAAATTCAAATAAAATTTTAACATATGTATTATATATTAAAATAAAACTTATATTGCTATTATAATTCTCCCTAAATCAGGCACTGGGTAAAAATAAAGCAACGAATAAGTCATTGAAAATATATCCTATAATCACAGTATATTCAAATAAAGTTTATAAATAAAGGCATTCAACTTACAGTATAACAGTATCTTCCTTTGAGGTAATATAGAAAGGGTTCTTCTGGTAAAAGTTTGATTGCTATATCTAGATGTTCCTGAAAGAAGCATCCAAAGGAAAATCATCTCCCAAGTTTCAGATATTGTCAAATGGAACTATGCCAAAGCCTAGTAACCCAAAAGTGGTTTTAAAACGTTGTCTCGGTCCTCCCCATCCCTATCATTAATACATTGAGATCTTATCAATAATTAAACTACCAAAATGATTGCTTACAATCAGAACCAGAACTGTGACTACGATTTAATAACTTAAATTATTTAAATTAATGTGTAATTTAAAGCGAAATTACTATTATAAAAATAGAAAACATCAAAGTCGTATGTTTGCCTACCCATGACTTGATTACTGAATAGTTACTGATTCTGAGGTAAGCTTACAAATATGGAATGACATGGAATGGGGGATAATGGCAGAAAAAAATAGCAGAGCTAGATGGGAGAAAAATCTATTCCTCTGGCATTATCAAATGGTTATAGAGACCTGGAAAATAGGGAAGAACTGTTTACTCATCTCTGTAATTATTGACGTCAAGGGGTTACGTACTGAGCTCTGGAGGCAAATAATACATTATGTGTGTGTGTATTACTCACTTTATTCATCTATCATGGCAAATTTAAATCCTAGATTGGATCCTGCTTTTCCTTGACCAAATCAATATGCAGAGATAGTTAACTACTTAGTGCTAGTTACACTTATGATATTAGTGAGCTTATTATCAAAAGGCTAGTTCTTTTTTTTTTTTTTTTTGAGATGGATTCTTGTTCTATTGCCCAAACTGGAGTGCAGTGGCACAATCATGGCTCAATGAAACCTCCATCGACATCGACCTGAATCAAGTGATTTTCCTGGCTCAGCCTCCCGAGTAGGTGGGATTACAGGTATCCACCACCATGCCTGGCTAATTTTTGCATTTTTAGTAGAGATGGGGTTTCATTATGTTGGCCAGGCTAGTCTTGAACTCCTGACCTCAAGCTATCTGCCTGTCTCAGCCTCCCAAAGTGCTGCAGTTACAGATGTGAGCCAACTGCACCCGGCTGGCTAATTCTTAACCTCTGAAAAAGCAATACTCATCTATTCTGTGACTTCTTTCAGATTAATAATAATCTTTAATCACCCAAATAATTTCTTTTTATCATAGTACTATTTAAAGAATATCCTTTCATTTTCTAATGTTTAAACAAACAAAAAAGCAAATTCCCAGAGCTTAATCTGTTGAATAATCTGGTTTTACCTGTTGATGGAACATATGGCTATATTAAAACATTTTTAATATTAAGAAATACCCTTCTGGCCAGGCGCAGTGGCTCACGCCTATAATCCCAGCACTTTGGGAGGCTGAGGCATGTGGATCACAAGGTCAAGAGATCGAGACCATCCTGGTCAACATGGTGAAACCCCGTCTCTACTAAAAATATGAAAAATTAGCTGGGCATGGTGGCGCGTGCCTGTAATCCCAGCTACCCAGGAGGCTGAGGCAGGAGAATTGCCTGAACCCAGGAGGCGGAGGTTGCAGTGAGTCGAGATGGCGCCATTGTACTCCAGCCTGGGTAACAAAAGTGAAATTCCATCTCCAAAAAAAAAAAAAAAAAAAAAAAGAAATACCCTTCTGTAAATCTGGATCTGAAAAGAAATATTTTTAAAAAATACCTTGAAGAGGTGCCCATAGTTGATTTTGTTTTGTAAACCCTCAAACTCAGATACATAGCCACACAAAACTGCATACCTGAAAAGGATAAAAACAGTCACCATTGTGTACATTTTTAATAATTGCCACCAAAGCATATCATTAAAAGAAACTCTAAAGCATTCATTAATATTTAACAAGAGTATTCATATAAATATGAGGGCCCTAACAATAACAAATACTTAACATTAATGTGAGGTCAGTTCTCTCATCTATAACCAGGGATACTAACAATATTTATATGAATACTGCAAGGGAAAAATAAGCTAAAACAGGTAATGTGATTAGTGCTTGGGACATAAAGAGTTTCAACAGATGTTACCTGCCACTGTCACTATCATCATTTTGAGACGGAATCTCAAAAGAAACTCTCAGAAAAAGTCTAATCACATTAAGTGTTAAATTAGAAAAAATATTGTCAACAGATTTATAACATTAAAAACATTGTTAACGTCAACTTTAAAGAATTTATTCCCTCCTTTAAAAAACTTTGTTTCATTAGCTCCTTTAATATCAGTGAAAATGCAAATAAGTACTATGATTATAACAAAATCAAAGGTAATTTTAGAGTATGCTTTTTCAAAAAATTTCCCTTCTCCCTCAACCCTTCCTGGAAACACTGCATTACTAGAATAGTGCATCCCATAGGTCATTTACTTGTTTCTACTGGGAATACAAAATTTACATGAATAATTATTTGACTATAAGTTGCATGCAATATTTGTTCAGCAATTTGCTTATTTACTGGAAAAACTGTGGATATGTTGTTTTTCACATTCAGAGCATTTCTATCTGTACAAAAATCTTCAGAGTATTTCAGTGTTTTTATCTAAGGTAAAATATCCATTTACCTAAATATTTCAAGAGTAGGTGTTAATTTTTACCTTGCATTGTCATAGTAACTAAGATGAAAAATATAATTTTGGATGTTATTTATTTCAGTTACTTCTGTGAATACATATAACTTCCACATACAAAAAGCAGTGAACAATTTTAATTTGGAACAATAAGACCATTCCTAGACACAAAAGATGCCATCATTTTAGTATTTGTGTTTTACATATTTTTTTGGAATCTGCTTCTTTAAAGTTTAAAGTACTATCCATCTTTTTATGTATCATAAATTCAAAGGTACCTGGTCACTTTCTCCCAAAGGGTCATTACTTCTTTTCTGTCAATCAATTTTACCTATGTTTGTGTGTATATATGATTTTTTAAATACTGCTCATTTAAAATACATAATTTTATGCTTTATTTCTCAAACACTCAGGTTGATAGAAATTCTGAAAAAGTTAATTCACACTATGGTGTATTACCTCCATCTAGAGGTCATTCTAACTATGTACGTTTTGACAAGAACACTGTATTTTCTTTGCATTGACAGTGAATATATCCTTAATAATCGACTATCATACTGTCACTATTAAAACAACTCCATTAATTTTCCTGCAGTATTTCTGATTCAGCACCAATGCTGTTTATACTATGAAAAAGCAGAGGCATCATACTGTTAACGGAAAAACGATTAGGTATATAAGAATACAAAACTGGGTTCTAGTTTTTAGTTTTCCACTTACTGTATGGCTCTGATTACTAACCAACACACACCCATGTGTGCGCACACACACAGAGTACCTTGCTTACCCCATCTACAAAGTGAAAACAAGCTGTTCTGTGAACCACAAGCTATAAGACATGTGGATATGATTTGCAAACAGTAGAGCACAACAAATATGTAAGACATTACTTATAATTAAGGTCAGGCTTATTTGGCCAACAAATTGCAAATCCTTTGGTGACTTTATTCTCATTCTCTTGATTCCAGAAGTATTAAATACTTTTTGTCAGTACAACAAAAACAACCGAATCTTACAGAAACCATATATAGCTTTAAAGTTACAAAGCCATTTCATTTTAGAAAAGTTAGAGATAAAACTAAGTCATTAAAATGATGTTCATTTTTCAATCATTCCCAAATAATATTAAGCCTTTATAAAAATTATTCTTAAAGATTACATCTTTTGTTTCAAACTGAAGGTTTATAAACCATCATATAACACTGTAAACCATGAGTCTGCAAAGTTTTGCAGTAGGAACAGAGAGTAAACGTTTTAGGCTTTGGGGCCAGACACTCTTTTGCAACTTCTCTGCTGCTATGCGAAAATGCATGTGTGTGGCTTGTGATCCAATAAAACTTTATTTATGAAAACGGGCAGTCGAATTCATCTGCAGGCCACAGTTTGTCATTCATGCTGAATGAATGAGAAAATATCTTATTAACACATTAATAAACTCAGTTTTAATTCAGTTTTAACATAATTAAAGAGTACCCAACAGAATAAGATTTCAACAATTTGTTACAATTAATTATAAAATCAGGCTACCTAAATTTCATCCATTATTTTTCAAGTCAAAGTTTAAATTTCTTTTTTCATTCCCTCAAACATCTACAATTTAATTTAAGGAGAACTTTTGCATTCAGTAGGATATAGTATAAGAATTAAGATTAAATTGACATTTAAATTTCTTAAATTTTAATCAACTGAGATTTTAATTAATTTATTTATTTTTTTGAGATGGAGTTTTGCTCTTGTTACCCAGGCTAGAGTGCAATGGTGCCATCTTGGCTCACCACAACCTCCATCTCCTGGATTCAGGCAATTCTCCTGCCTCAGCCTCCTGAGTAGCTGGGATTACAGGCACGTGCCACCATGCCCAGCTAATGCTTTTTTTTTTTTTTTTTTTTTTTCGTATTTTTAGTAGAGACGGGGTTTCACCATGTTGACCAGGATGGTCTCGATCATGATCCACCTGTCTCGGCCTCCCAAAGTGCTGGGATTATAGGCATGAGCCACCGCACCTGGCCCTGAGATTTTAATTTTTTTAAATTAAAAACTGATAGTAAGATATTAGGTGAAACACAATTGGATCACGACTCTGTGTGTGTTTTCATAAGATTTAATCTTGGGATTAAATGCTATGGTTATAAACAAAGTGTTTAGTTCTCAACAAACAGTGAAAGAAGATGAACAAAGAGACAACCAGATTAGTGGAAGACAAACTGGGAAACCCACTAATGGAGAGCTCAGCATAATCTATGCTCACAAGATACATTTCAAGGTACTTAATGAAACCCTCAGAGAATTCAACATGGTTCCTCTATGAAAATTTGGAAACTCACACTGATAAATAACCTCAAATTAAGGATTTACACCAAATGCACATTTTAAATGTGATTCTTCATAGGTACAGATGCATGTAGGAGAGAAGGTCTAAGAGGACAGGATGGGGAAGGAAGAGCAACAGAGGACAGGGAGAAAGAAGAGAAGGAAAAGGAGGGGAGGGAGCAGAGAAGGGGGAGGTAAGAAACAGGAAGAGTGGGGGAGGAAAAGGAAGCATTGAGAGTTAAAAGCAGGACTTGGTGTTTTTTCTGCATCCTAATTAGGTTAATCAGTTCCCAAATGCCTCCATTACCAAAGGAGATGAAGAGAGAAAGGCTTGAGCACCGCAAATTCATTACAGTTACTAATAAAAGTAGAAGAACAAAAGTACTTTAATATGTATGTTAGTTTACTAGTGTTATTATGTAAATTAGATGATCTAGGTAAACCTGGCTAATATAAAAAATAGCCAAGACCCTCTGTACTAAGTAAGTGATCTTGAAAATCAGTACCAAATTGCTATCTGGAAAATTACCTTTTCCGCTAGAATTCTGGCAGAAGCACCCAGGGTACAAAACAATACTTTATCTATCAGGTACTCCAATCCCTAAAGCAAGATTCTATACCACCCATGCGTGACATATTAAGAAATTATTCACAGGTTCTACCAGATTTAGCCCTTCACTCTACTCCAGGCTATATAAGACAAGGCAAAGAATTCGCAGGAGGAAGACTGGGAGTGAGGATTTCTTCAGGGTTGGGGTGCTGTGGGTTCCACCTTCTACCCTCACATGACAGAGGGCAGGTGACAGGCTTGCATCTCATCAAAAGCCATCCGAGGGCAAAAGGTCTATTCATATTTTGGCATGTGTCCCTTTGAGTCTGGACAAATAAAATGTTACCAGATTCCTGCCCAAGGAATTTTAAGTGAGAGTTTGTGAGTGGAGCTCCCCCTGCTGATAGCAGAGTGAAAAAACAGGTCTCCTTTGGGAAAAAGGTTTGTACTTCAGATTTTGGAGGGGCAAAAATGAGACAAATGTGTACCTGTGGATAGGGAGCCATTTTGAGAGAGATTTTGCCTGAGTGCCCCTACATCATAGGGATGGGAAATAAAATAACTGCAGAGAAGGGTGGATTTCTGGAAACTCAGGACTGAAGAAAGGCTCATACATTTATTATTGTATTTTCCCACTACCTGGGTTACCTGCATTGCTGGGGAGAAAAAGAAATCAAGGAACTATAAATGTAAAAATGCAACTACAAGTAAAAGGAAGAATAATAATTAAATCAACATATTTCTACTTGTGTTTTATAATAATTTATATTTACAAAATAATGTTTATATAAACATACAAAGGGTCCAAACACAACACAATTAAGAATGATATTTTTTGCTCTAAGGATATTTACCTATACCCATCTAATTAATTAAATTCTCTTTGAGCTTTTTATGTCATAAATGGCTTTTCCTTGATCTGTGGAATTTGTATATTATGATACATCAATGCTTAAGAAATGGTTGATGTGCTTTTCTATATTTCATTTAGAAACATCCCATCATTTTAGTATTTGTGTTCAAATAAAATGTTATACTGAATTAGATTTAATTATAATTTATCATCTTCAAAGCCAGTAGACTTGGTAGATTCATTCAAGAATTTTTCAATAAAAGTTTCCCTTAAATACATTTCAAAGAATGCATAATAAAATGTGAATAAACAGAGTAAGAACACTTACTGTGCTATTATATATATTTTTCAAGGAATGTGACTGACAGATTAAACATGTGGGCCAATATTTTGAAAAATCCATTTAATTTAGAAAGAGGCAGATTAGAATTTAAAAGACTGCATAAATCCTCTATACTTACCACAGATGACAATGTCCATTCATGGGTGCTCTATTCATCGCTCTTTCACTTAAAGTTTTTCCTGAAAGATAAGAGTATTTACACTTAGTATCTTCAAGTGAGTTGGTAGGAGGTGGATTCTTGAATTAATTCAATGGTTCCCAAATTTCTTTAAATATAAGATTCATATGACAGTACTTCAGAAACATATTGCATAATGGTATACTCACTTCGAGTTTTTATCAAAGAATTCTGTACTCTCCAGTGATCAAATCTTTCCTAAGCATAACAATCTTAAACATGCTATTATAAGAAGAAATCTGTACTTCTTCCTCCCTCATGCTGAGTCCCAGCATTCTTCCACAGCTGATCGGAGCCCCTGCCTTGCTCTCAGCTCCAGTGTCATTACCATTACTAAGCACTTACACCTTATACACTGAATATAATTGGCTACCCCTTTATTATCTTTTCCATAGAGTAATTCCTTAGTGTTATGCAGCCTTCATCATATTTATGCCTCTCCTCTTCCTCCTCCCCTGCCCACCACCCTCCATTTTCACACTGTTCCTCGACAAAATAATTTTGAATATTTCTTAAATGGATAAATTAAAGGAATTCTTTTACATTTATTTCAATATCTGAATGAACACATCTGAGCCTTTTTTAACTCCTTTCTCTTTGGCACTATAAACTTTTCTCTTTTTTTTGGATATATCCTGTTTGAATCCTATGCTTCATTTTTGCCCCTGAATTCCCTTCAAACAATTGCTTTCCGAATTTCACCACCTAAGACATTAACTCAATTAAACTCCCATTTATGGATAACTTTATCCATTTAAAAATAGAGATCCAGATTGATTTTACCTATGGGAAACTGTAACTTCCATAAGAAAGACTTCCCTGCATCAACCTCCATCCTCTGCCATCATATCCTCCTTTCTGCTACATGGGCTCACGAACGACCTGATCTGTCTGCTTGTCTGTCTGTCTGTCTATCTGAGACAGGGTCTCGCTCTGTTACCCATGCTGGAGTGCAGTGGTGGGATCAGAGCTCACTGCAGGCTTGATCTCTTGGACTCAAACAATCCTCCCACCTTAGTCATGTGTTATTTTTAGTACAGACAAGGTCTCCCTATGTTGCCCAGGCTGGTCTCGGACTCCTGAGCACAAATCATCTAGCTACTTTGGCCTCCCAAAGTGCTGGGATTACAGGCATAAACCACTGCGTCCAACCTCTGTACTCTTCTTTAATAAGAACTTATTTCCATTCGTTTTTGTATATGTATGATTATTTGAATGGTGCTGCCTCCCCTATAAAGCCATAAACTCCCCTGTAGTCTGAAAACATGTCTATTTTGCTATCTTCTTACCTTAGCACATAATACCCAGGGTAGGGCAGGTACTTATGAAAAAAATGTATTTAATATTGATGAATGTTGGAGCAGTTTACACAGATACACTTTGATTTTCTCAGTAGATATGAAAATAAATCCCCTTGTTCTCTTTTGTTTTTATTTACCTTGAAATTAATACATCTCTTCTCTAGAATTCTGTTTTGTACATGGTTTTCAAACTGGATTGCTACAGAAAAACTCCACAAAGCTGATGATGAATATGCCAACAAGAGGGGGATGCCCTCTCATCCTCCTCCCACTGGGGGGAGCTAAAGCACAGAGGTCATTCAGCAAATAAATCTCCAAGTGGAAAAAATATAATTATAAGGGGTTTGGTAAAACTTTCTACTTGGAAATAAAAATTACAGAGAACTAGACTGGGAAGAAATATTTCTTGCTGTGTCTTCCTCTTGCTATCTTTTCCAGAAGAAAAGACTGGAAAAGAGAAGCCTTTGGAACGAAATGAAGAATTAAAAGGATTTTGATGTCAAAGTACTATACTGACATTCAGAGAGACGGCAGGTAGGGGCTTTTGCAAGAACACATTTGACATTCAGTGAGAGCCCAGGTGAGATGCAAAAATAACAATTTGACATTTTGTCTATTTAGTTATTCTTGTTGTGATGAAAAATTTCAAAAACATACAAAAAGGTATAGATGACAGAATAGTGAACCACCATATAAGCATCATCCAGCTTTGACAATTATCAAACGAGGTTTTTAAACAAGGTTAATCTTGTTTCATCAAGTTACATTTGGAAAAAACATTAAAGTCTGAGAGTTTATTCTTTGTGGTCCCTGGAGTTCTACATTACGGGAAGTAAGATGTGTTACTTTAACTGTGGTTGACAACTGCTGAAGACACTTGTCCTCTACCTGTTATTATTTCTCAAACACTGCCACTACATTTCTTGTCTATGTTTTATAAAGTTCAAAGATGAAATCTGAGTGTTTTCAGTTACCTATTCTAATATACTCAAATACTTTTGAAGAACACATACTTTAGTCCGAAAATGCCTTTCTGTTCTGTGAATTTGTTTTGTGCCAGAATATATTAAAACAGATTAAATATATTGGTTTTAGCTAAGATAATTTAGTTATAATTCACTAGTGATTTAGCATAGATCTTAACGGCTACTTGAGAATTATCTTTATAAAATGCTTACCAATATTAGCATAATGTTTCTTTTCTTGTGTGTCTGTAGATAGTTCATACATGTCTCCATAAGCACGAGCAAATCGCCACATAAACTCTATTTCATCTCTAAACTGAAAAGAAAAGATAGAGTTGCCTGTTAAATTAACTTGGTAACTTGTCTATTCTATTCCTGTTTTCTTTTCTTTCTTTTACTTTAAGTTCTGGGGTACATGTGGAGATTCTGCAGGATTGTTACACAAGTATACACATGCCACGGTAGTTTGCTGCCTCCATCCCCCTGTCACCTACATTAGGTATTTCTCTTAATGTTATCCCTCCCCAATCTCCCCAGTCCCCTGCTATCCCTTCCCTAGTCTACTCTTGTTTTCTACTGCAGATTTTTAAAAACTTGGGCAAGTAAACTGGTATTTATAGATTCTTGAATCTATGTATATACATATTTCAGTGTGAAACATTTTGGAATCCAAATACTCATGGCTAATAAATATGACCTAATGTAGTGTTACATTTGGAACTTAAAACCAATTAATATTAACCAGACACTAGCTCCATCTATGCAGAGGAGACATTTGATAGGTACCAAAATCTAGAAATTCTTCCTGGGCTGTGGCATCTGTTTCTTCTTTTCCTTTCCAAATTATCTATTATCAATATAATGAGCATCTCAGTTAATATTTGTAAGTTGAAATGCATACACTCAAAAGAGCAGTGACTGTTTTTACTTAAATTACCTAAATATAATCCTGAAGATCTATCAAATTTAAATAATGTGTTTAGAGTTGCTAAATCCTCAGACAAATAAAGATATTTATTTCTCCCTGGGACACTGTAAACTCCTTTAATTTTTTAGTGGTGGTGATGAGAGCACTGGACAGGCTTTTCGTTTCTTGTTCAGGCCTAACATTAAACACTGCAAAATTAACAAATGACCATTGGTAGAAATAGCTTTAAATGCCCTTATCTGTCTCAAAGTATTTATTAAATATACAAATTAATAAATAAAAGTAAATCTGCATAATTATAGCTCTAGTTCTTATTTTTATGACCTTAGAGTCTAATAAACTTTTACATTTACTTTTTTACAAGCTTTAGTCATTTTAAATAAAAAATAAATTTTAAAAAAATTTAGTCATTTTATAGAGAAATTTTATATCAATCATTTAGCTTGTGTGAACCATGACACAATTATTATAGTCATAACTGAATGAGATGGGGGGTTAAATGAAAAATTGAAACTATACAAAGTGCTATTGTCATGTCTCTTACCTTTTCTTTGTGGTCACAAAGTAGCTCAAAACTCTCCGACTTGCCAGACTCACTCATACGCAAATGATCTACCTTCTGAAGAAGGACATCTAAATTTAATTCCTCTACATGTGTGTTAAATGCCTTACGGTCTGGAAAACTCTGTTCTTCTGTGTCGGTATTAGCTGTAATATACCTAAAATCGCAGAAATAATCATCAACTCCTTTGAAAGTTATCTATAGTAGCCAGAGCAATGCTTTTAAAATGCAAGTCAAATCATGCTCCTCTTATGCTTGAAACTGCAGTGGCTTCCACTTTCACTCAGGAAAAGCTCAAGTCCTAAAGCAGTCTATAAATCCCCATGCAATTTGCCCCCTAATCCCATTACCTCTTTGATCTCATTTCCTACCACTCTTCTCACTCATTCAAATCCACACAGCTCAGCTAGCTGCTTCTTCAATACTCTAAGAACATGCCTAGGTCTGAACCTCCACTTGCTGTTCCCTCTAATGAAATGTTGTTCCCTTAGACAGCCACGTAACTCACAACCTCACCTCCTTCAAGTCTCTGCTCCAATTTCATTTTCTCAGTGTGGCCCATCCAGACCATTCTATTTAATACCACAATCCCCATATCCCCTTCATCTTTAACCTCCCTCATCACACGTGAGGTTTTTTTCCCCATAGCATGTATTACCTTCTAACATACCGTATAATTTACTGATCTGTTACATGTGCTGTTTGTCAGTATCCTCCCCATTAGAATGCAAGCTCCCTGATGGTAGGTTCATCAACTGATGTATCAAGTGCCTAGAACAGCATTATTCACTGAATGTTGCTGAATGAATGATATACAGAGTTGTAGGAACTCAGCAGGCATTCAAAATTGTGAGTGTGTGTAAACTCACACGAACACATATTTATAGTTCAAGATGATGTTCTAAATTTTAACTTGGTTTTTAAAAGTTAATACTATTGCCCACATTTCATTTTTGCCAGCAAACAATGCAAACAACTTATTTTTATTAAATCAGATCCTGCCTGTCCTGAAAAGGTTTTCAGGAACTATATAAGGATATATAACATATAAGAGAATAAATCAGAAGTAGTGAAAAAAGAGAAAGGCCAAATGTGAATGAAGTCAATACAAAAAACACATGAACTTTAGATAGTTATATCTTTGCTGCAAAGGATACAAATGCTCTTCATTTTCTAGCGGCCAATGCAATTAGTTTCACAACTTGCAGCTCTCATTAGATACAAACAAAAATACTAACAAAGTAAGTTCTTAAATTTCTTTCATATGCCTTATTAAGAAGACATTACATGAACTGATCTCCAACTTCTTCAATAACATTCTTTCCTAATGGAAACCTTATTCTTCCAATTCCTCAAACCAAAAAACTTGGAATCATCCGTGATGCTTCTCTTTTCTTTCTCCTAAGCAATACCCAGTCTGTTAGCAAACCCTGTTGGTTCTATCCTCAAAATGCATTCAGAATCTGGCCACTTCTTCCCACCTCTCCCCACTACCACCTTGGTCTAAGCCTCCATCATCTCATCTGGATTACTGTAATGGCCTTTTATCACATCTCTTTGCTTTTGTCCTTTACTCTTATTCTCAACACATTAGCAAGAATAATTCAGATCATGTCATTCCTTTGCTCAAAACTCTCCAACAGATGCCCAAATCAGAGTGAAATCCTAAGCCCTTTCAGAGGTCTACAAGGCCTAACATAATCTGGTCCAAAACCTCTGACTTTATCTTCTATCACTTTCCTTCTTGCTCACAGTATTTCAGAAACTCTAACTTCCTTGATATTCCTTGAACACATTAGTCAAACAAAAAGCAATAACATCAATATCAACAAAAAGGATGCCCATGCAAAACCCCATCCTAAGGTGCTCAGAATCAAAGATCAAAGGTAGATAAATCCACAAAGATGAAGGAAAACCAGCACAAAAAGGCTGAAAATTCTGAAACCAGAATACCTCTTCTCCCCAAAAGGATCACAACTCCTTGCCAGCAAGGAAACAAAACTGGATGGAGAATGAGTTTGATGAACTGACAGAAGGTGGGTAATAACAAAAGAAGCATGTTCTAACTCAATGCAAGGAAGCTAAGAACCTTGATAAAAGCCTACGGGAACTCCTAACTAGAATAACCAGTTTAGAGAAGAAGATAAATGACCTGATGGAGCTGAAAAACACAACATGAGAACTTCATGAAGCATACACAAGTATCAACAGCCAAATCGATCAAGGGGAAGAAAGGATATCAGAGACTGAAGATTAACTTAATAAAATAAAGCATAAAGACAAGATCAGAGGAAAAAGAATGAAAAGGAATGAACAAAATCTCCAAGAAATATGAGACTATGTGAAAAGACCAAACCTATGTTTGATTGGTGTATCTGAAAGTGATGGGGAGAATGAAACCAAGTTGGAAAACACACTTCACAATATTATCCAGGAGAACTTCCCCAACATAGCAAGGAAGGCCAACGTTCAAATTCAGCAAATACAGAGAACACCACAAAGATGGTCCTTGAGAGCAACTCCAAGACATAATCGTCAGATTCACCAAGGCTGAAACACACACACACAAATGTTAATGGTGGCTAGACAGAAAGGTCAGGTTACTCACAAAGGGAAGCCCATCAGACTAACAGCAGATCTCTCTGCAGAAATTCTACAAGCCAGAAGAAAGTGGGGGCCAATATTTAACATTCTTTTAAAAAGAATTTTCAACCCAGAATTTCATATCCAGCCAAACTAAGCTTCATAAGTGAAGGAGAAATAAAATCCTTTACAGACAAGCAAATGCTAAGGGATTTGGTCACCACCAGGCCAGACTTACAAGAGGTCCTGAAAGAAGCACTAAATATGGAAAGGAAAAACTAGTACTAGCCACTGCAAAAACATACCAAAATATATAGACCAATGACACTATGAAGAAACTGTATTAACTAATGCAAAATAACCAGCTAGCATCATGATGACAGAAACAAATTTAGACATAGCAATATTAACCTTAAATGTAAATGGGCTAAATTCCCCAATTAAAATACACATATTAACCTTAAATGTAAATTAGTTAAATGACCCAATTAAGAGAAACAGACTGGCAAATGGGATAAAGAGTCAAGACCTATTGGTGTGCTGTATTCAGGAGACACATCTCATGTGCAAAGACACACACACACAGGCTCAAAATAAAGGGATGAAGGAATATTTATCAAGCAAATGGAAAGCAAGAGAAAAAAAATAGCAGCGGTTGCAATCCTAGTCTCTGACAAAACAGACTTGAAACCAACGAAGATTAAAAAAACACAAAGAAGGGCACTACATAATGGTAAAGAGATCAATGCAACAAGAAGAGCTAACTATTCTAAATATATATGCTTCCAACACAGGAGCACCAAGATTCACAAAGCAAGTTCTTAGAGACCTACAAAGAGACTTACACTCCCACACAATAATAATGAGAGACTTTAACACCCCATTGTCACTATTAGACAGATCAACAAGATAGAAAATTAACAAGAATATTCAGATCTTGAACCCAGCTCTGGACCAAGCAGAGCTAATGGACATCTACAGAACTCTCTACCACAAGTCAACAGAATATACATTCTTCTCAGCACCACATAACACTTATTCTAAAATCAACTACATAATTGGAAGTAAAACACTCCACAGCAAACATAAAAGAACAGAAATCATAACAAACAGTCTCTCAGACCACAGTGCAATCAAATTAGAACTCAAAATTAAGAAACTCACTCAAAACTGCATAACTACATGGAAACTGAACAACCTGCTCCTGAATGACTACTGGGTAAATAACAAAATTAAGGGAGAAATAAATAAATTATTTGAAACCAATGAGAACAAAGATACAATGTACCAGAATCTCTAGGAGACAGCTGAGACAGTGTTTAGGGGGAAATTTATAGCACTAAATGCCCATATGAGAAACTGGGAAAGATCTAAAATCAACATGCTAACATCACAATTAAAAGAACTAGAGAAGCAAGAGCAAACAAATTCAAAAGCTAGCAGAAGACAAGAAATAACTAAGGTCAGAGCAGAACTGAAGGAGACAGAGACATAAAAAAAAACCCTTCAAAAATCAGTGAATCCAGGAGTGGGTGTTTCGAAAAGATTAACAAAATAGATTGACTGCTAGCCAGACTAATACAGAAGAAAAGAGAGAAGAATCAAATAGACACAATACAAAATGATAAAAGGGATATCATCACTGATCCCACAGAAATACAAACTACCATCAGAGAATACTATAAACACCTCTATGCAAATAAACTAGAAAATCTGGAAAAAAACGGATTAAATTCCTGAATACATATACCCTCCCAAGACTAAAGCAGGCAGAAGTAAATCCCCGAATAGACCAATAACAAGTTCTGAAATTGAGGCAGTCATTAATAGCCTACAAACCAAAAAAAAAAAAAAAAAAAAAAAAAAAAAAAAGCGCAGGTCCAGACAGATTCACAGCCGAATTCTACCAGAAGTACAAAGATGAGCTGGTATCATTCCTTCTGAAACTATTCCAAACAATAGAAAAAGAGGGACTCCTCTCTAACTCATTTTATGAGACCAGCATCATTCTGATACTAAATCCTAACAAAGACACAACAAAATAAGAAAATGTCAGGCCAATATCCCTGATGAACATCAATGTGAAAATCCTCAATAAAATACTGGCAAACTAAATCCAGCAGCACATCAAAAAGCTTATCTACCACAATCAGGTCAGCTTCATCCCTGGGATGCAAGGCTGGCTCAACATACACAAATCAATAAAAATCTATCCCATTAACAGAACAAATGACAAAAACCACATGATTGTCTCAATAGATGCAGAAAAGGTCTTCAATAAAATTCAACACCCCTTCATGCTAAAAACACTCAATAAACTAGGTATCAATGGAATGTATCTCAAAACAAAAAGAACTATTTATGACAAACCCATGGCCAATATCATACTGAATGGGCAAATGCTGGAAGCATTCCCTTTGAAAACCAGCACAAGATGAGAATGAGCTCTCATCACTTCTATTCAACTGGAATAATGGCTAGTACTGGAAGTTCTGGCCAGGGCAATAAGGCAAGAGAAAGAAAATAAAGTGTACTCAGATAGGAAGAGAGGAAGTCAAATTTTCTCTGTTTGCA